GAGTTCACCAAAGTTCCCTTCGAAAGTCTTATTACACAGAACCGAATGATGATAGTTCCAGGGCCCCTCGCATTTCTACTTTGGGAATGTGTAACATGGAGGGAAATGCTCTGCTCCTCTGCTCCGTGTGTCCTATGTTGTAGGTCACTGGAGCCCTGTTCAGCAGTCTGGACGGTCTGTTCAGGACTGCCCCAAAGGCCAGTTCCAGTGAATGAGTCTCCTCACCAGCAACCTGATATTCAGTTTGGATGCAGCTCAGGAGAGAGGCTTCAGTAATCAGAACCTCGTGGCAGGGAAAAGGCCCCCTGTGGGTTCTGATCAGAGATCTTGTGAGTGCTAACGTAGGTTGAGCACAGGGAAAGCTTCTTGGGGAGGAGGACTACTTGGAAAAGATGTCCAGCAGAGAATGCACTTGCTGTGCTTTCTTCTTCATCTGTACACTCAGTGGCAAAGTTTTAAAAGGGCACTGGAACCAAATGCGTTTTATTTACGCTTGTATACGCCAGCGATCCATGCCAATGGAACATGGATTTAAAAAAATCACAGAGAATCCAAATTTAATTTTAGTTATTGCTTCAATGTCCAAACCTCAGACTAACACGCTTAACACGACTTGGTTAGGTTGGGTGTGAAGAGCTTCAGAGCAGAGAAGGCTATAAATACTGAAATGAATTAATAAGAGAAGCGATAATAATTCCTTCCTAGAGATGAATTGAAAAATGCATCTGGCTGAATGGTCTACAGGTAGTGCCATTTGACGAAGGAGTCTGGACAACGTCCTGATACTTCCTTTGAGACCTGGGATTCTATAAGTTCTACAGCATGTCAGTCTTTGCTGGCCTGTCTCTTTTCCCTTCTTTATTCATCTATTGTGGAGGAGAAAGTAAGCCCAAAGGTGAGCATTTCAAGACAGATCAGAAGTGGGCCAGTAGTTACTGCAGTGGATAATAGTGCAGTCTCTGCCCCGGGCTGCCTGGGTTGGCATCCTGGCTCTGCCCAGTTATGTGACTGGGCAGATTACTTCTCTGTGAGCCTCTGTGGTAATAAGCACCACACAGAATTGTTGTGAGGTTTAAATGAGTTAACCTATATATAAAGCCCTCAGACCAGTGCCTGATAATTAACATTAGTTATTGCTATATGCAATGCAATTAGTTATTACTAATTACTATCACATCTGGGACAATATAATCATATAGTATCTTCCATCTGAGCAAAAACAGTAATAGGTTCTTGTAATGATCATAGTCTACTTAACATGTACCAAAATGATAGAAAGAGGGGATGGGTAACTCTGCTAAGCCATGTTCTGAGTAAGGTCCCTTAACTGCACCCAACTCTTGAGACAATTACCCAAGATACACTGTATTTGCCTCTTGTGTTATAATGAAGATCAAGATTTGAATTAATATTTTATGCTTTAACAACTTTCAAGGGCAGTTTGGGCATAACACTAAATCTCTCTCTTCAGAGAAAGAACACGAATAACTTTGGCATCAAGGGAAAATAAAACCATTAATTTAATAATTTCTTTATTTTGGCCTAGCTGTAGGTTTGGTTTCCTAGCCTAGCTGATTAAAATATAAAATAACCAGTATTTCCAAAACATTTTTAAATTGAGGACTCTACTATCTGAAGAGTCTAGAATTTAAGAAGTAACAATAATTCTCTTTCGGAGAAAAATGTGTGTATCTGACTCAATGGTATACAAGTAGTGTTTTCTATACATCTCTGCTTTTACTTAATGAAGGCCATCAGATAACCTGGCCTTCCGTGGGCTACCATTTTCTTATCTGTAAAAAGGAGGGGGGATACCCAACTTCTCATCTCCAGGGTTGACATGAGGTGGAAAGGGGTTCACAGGTTTCACAGCATGACAATCACTTTGGAAAACCAAAAATATATATACGAAGTAATTTTACTTCCTGACATCAGATCATACTACTATAAATTATTTTATGCTATTAGAGAGAAAATAAGGTATTTGTTTTCCTTTTAAGAAATAACACAGCGACCTAGTGGTAAACAAACATCTTTAATGTTCGTTTTTTCTTCCTCATCCCCTTCAGTTTTGCCCACATGTGTACCCCTTCCCCTGTCCCAATACTAAAGTGACCAAACCATGACCACAGAGACTGAGAAGAATATTCGAGGTACCAGAGACTCCATGGGCATCTCTTCCCCTTCTGGTGACTCCTAGTTCTTCTTCTTGGAGACAACTGGGGCCTCTTGATGCTTACTTGTTTTCATCCAAAGGAGGATAGAGGGAGGGACAGAATTTGTGGGAGAGAAGGCAGAGAGAGTTTCTTCTTTCATCATAAAATGTTCTTTGTAAAAAATATGATATATACACACACACACACACACGTATAAAACATATCCAGTGCAACTGCAATTGCTGTGCCAAACACTGGGAAGTGCCCCCTTTGGTCGATGTATTTCTGGAGTTTTAAACAGTTGTCCTACAACAGCTGCATTTCAGTAAGACTCAGGCAGGTGGCTCCAGATAAGCCACTTGCCGCTCACATTCAGGCTGAGGCTTCCACGTTCACAGTCCGAAGGAAAAAGTGTGTCTTTGTGTCTGGAGTGGGTGTTGTAGGGAGGGAGCGGGCAGGAAAGGAGCTGGAGGCTACAGGTGAGGAAGAAGGAATTGGCTTCTTTTGACTTCTCTACCACAGTCTTTGATGCAAATACAAATACATTTCAGTCTGAGGATATTGACGTCGGCAGTGCTATGATCACACTACTTAATGAAATAATTCACATCAGCATAAAAAATATTCACACCAAAACATCTCTTTTTCTTTCCCTCTTTCCAAGAAAACTATGATATCATGTCACCTAAGTGATCACCATGGATATTTCCAGTGATTTGCCCAAAAGTCATTAAGCATCATTCAGAGTCTTTGGATTTCCTCTTTGGCAGAAGGAATTATTTTTAGATGAACATTCTGTCGATGTGTGTTCTGGTTTTCCCAATACACGGAGAAGTTTGAAGTCTCTGCATTCCCCCATGTCCTCATCCATGAAGTGAGAGGCACAGATGCCAGCCTCCATGGCTGGTCAGAAGGGAAAGGGAAGGGGAAACCCTGGGTCAGCAGATCAGCTCAGAAGGGATGCACCACAGAGGGAATAACGACGAGCTGCAAACCAAGATCAGAAGCTGTTACAAACCCACTTGATTTCAGCTCTGAGTGTCACCAATTGCGCTATGCAGAGACCTACAGGGAAGAAGGTGGGTTGTCTAAAACCAGTACAGATCCTTGCTTTTGTCCTGAGGCTGCAAATCTGAAAACAGAGAGAAAATAAAAGGGAGAGAGAGAGGGAGAAGAGAAAGAGAGAGGGAGAGAGAAGGGGGTGGGGGAGGGAAGGCACAAGATATTTAAAGAAAGAGAAAGACAAACAGCACTGTTTCATTGTGAAAGTCACAGAATTCATCTAAAGGGCATGAATGAAAGTAAAAGCAAAGCAAATAAGTGTCAAATTTGCACCTGAGGGAAGGGAGAGCCGGCAAGACTACGTACGAGCCAACGATTGCATTTATTATATAACTATTTTTTTCATTTGCCCTAAAAATAAAGCAAACAAAAAAGTAAACCCTTATTTGCCTGTACCTTTCAAATTCAACTCTTCAAGCCAGGGACTTAATATTATCACTAAAATCGTATTCTTGTTAAGTTTTATGTTTTCCAGAGACCTATTTAATTTGACAATTAAGTTGATATCAGAGTCATGAGTCATATTTGTATGACTTGTAACTACCACAAGAGGTGACAAGACCCCCCCCCCCCCCCCCCCCCGCCCCGCCCCGGGCCACCATTTAAACTACCCTCTTAGCAGGCACTCTAGATCAGCGCTGTCCAACAGAAACACAATGGGAGCCATGGGCATAATTCTAAATTTTCCGGCAGCCACATTGAAAAAAAGTAAAAAACAAACAGGTGAGACTTAGTAATATATTTTATTTAACCCAATATATTCAGTATGCAATGTGTTGAAAATATTTCAACATGCAATCAATGTAAAACATCAGTGAGATGAATTTTATATTCTTTTTGGGACAAAGTCCTGAAATCCAGTGTATATTATACACTTACAGCACATCCCAATTCGGCCTGGCCACGTTTCACGTGCTCAACCGACACATGTGGCCGGTGGCTACAGTGCTGAACAGCACAGAGCTAGAACCTTTCCAACAAATTTTATTTTTTAAAAATCCTCTGTAATATTAACGAGCTACTTTCTCATTCTGCCCACACCGATAACAGACAGGGTCATCTGTCTGATGAAACACAACCCCGCCAGGCAGACCTTCGGGCCTCAGGGTCACTGGGGTCTCCAAGGAGAACTAAGTAGGGTCCCGGCCTCAGCCCAGGCTTGGGCACAGGGCAGGAGGGGCCCGGGGATGCCACGTTCCCTCTCCCGCTTACCTGAGTCCACGCTGAGGCCCAGACCCCCGGCCACGTCCCCCGTGGGGCTCGCGAAGGGTCCCCCGGGCGCGGCCCACGTGGCGCCGGCCGGCTCGCCCTTGGCCGAGAGCTCGCAGGACGGGCTGCCGGGCGCGGGGGCCGGCGCGGGAGCGAGGCGGGCCGGGCGCCCCGAGGCGGCCGGCATCAGCAGCGGCCCGTAGCGCGGGTCGAAGTGCGGCGCGTAGACCTCGTGCACGGCTGCGGGCCGCGGGTAGGCGGCGGCCTGGGCGCCGAGGGCGCCGCCCAGCGCGTAAGGGTGGTGCGGATGCGCGTGGTGGGGATGCGCGTGATGCCAGGGCTCTGCCGCGCCCTGGTGCAGGTGGCCGTGCAGCGCGGCCGGCGAGTAGGGGTCGGCTGCGGCGAAGGGCAGCTCCGAGTGAGCGGCGGCCAGCGGGCTGCCCAGCGGCGCGGGCACCGGCGTCTGGTAAGCGCTGTTCCAGAAGGAGGCGGGGAAGCTGCGCTGGCTCATCGGGAAGGAGCCGTCTTTGGGTCGGCGAGGCGGAGGGGAGGAGAGGGAGAGAGGAACGCATCACCGCCGGAAGCACGGCTGCCGACGCCGCTCGGCCGCCGCAGAACTGAACGGCCGGGGCGGGCAAAGGGCGGGAAAGGCGCCGTGCTGGGCGCACGCGCGGCGCCTCTCTCGCGGGGCTGCGGCCCGTGAACGCGAGGTCCGGGCGCCGCACTGGGGAACTCTTTGGGGAGGAGCGCCGCTTCCTCGGATGTTGCAGGCGCGTCCCAGGCTGCGGGAACCTGGAGACTGGCGGGGAGAGGAAGAGCGGAGAGACTTCCTTCCCCAGCCCCAGTTTCAGGGCGCAGGGAGCTTCTTTCGGACTCCGGGCTGGACGGCCTCGGACCAGAAGCGGCCTCGCCTTCCCGGCCCGCAGCCTCTCCTGAAGCTAAAGGTACCTCTTCCCGCTCTTGGTCGGCCGCCTAGCGATCTCACTACCCGCTCTCGCGTTTCAGCCTCTCTTGCTCCAGAAAATGTGCCCCTCCAAGGCCTCGGATGGACTGGAAATCCATCGACATATTTCGGAGTCTTGCTATTATTAGCCTCCTTTCTAGAAACTTTATTTCAAGAAAATTTTTTTGCAAAGAGTAAACTTTACCTATTAAAAGGGCAGCTGTATTATTTGCAGAGGGGGACACGAAGGGACAGGTCTTTTCAGTTTTAATTAAAAAATTTTCTGCATCAAAATGTGGACGCCAGGAATAATAATAATAACAACAATAATTATTATTATTGTTTGTATCATTGTTGACCCCTAGTGTCTGGAAGCATTTTAAGAGAACAGCATTTAGCTCAAATTTGTTGCCTTTAGTTGGGAGGAAAGGAAAGAAAGACATTTAATTAAAAGAACCCTGGAGAAGGCATCTGCATTTCATAGTAGATAATTTAAAATGCTTTGAAAATGCATTCTAAGTAGTGAACAGTCTTCCTGTTAAAAGTATTTAGGCAACTGGAGAATAAAAAGAATGTTTTGTATTTAAAACTAATGTTTTTGGATCTTGTCTAGGCAAGGTTTGTACAAACTGTCACACTCTTAAGAAAAAAAAGGAAGGGCGACAGTTGTCATTTCCCCCAAAATGAAATATTTGTTTTCCTTGGTTACAACAAAGTCCTCATTTCTCAGCTTGGTACACATCAAAAGCAAAGATTAGTGAGAAAGTTACCAAAGTTACCAAATACTTACGTCCACCCTTGTTTTGGTAATAAAGGGAGGTCAAGATTTCAGAATAGAAGGGAGAGTTCGTTAACTCATCCAAGAAATCATTGTCCCAGGCGAGGTAAAGCAGTGCTTGGTGAGGAGGGTAAACCAATAAAGAAGGGATGTGTTTGGGGAAATCCCTTAGAGATGTTTTGGCTACCCTTAAATTCTTATTTCTTTATTATTTTACTTGCTTATTGAAAGACATTCTCTGCTTCAAGATTTCCCAAGTAATCAAAATCTGGCAAAAGGCATAAGTAGGTTTTAGGAGACATTCTTCAGCAGGTTTTGCTTGCACTGCATTCTAGGACTTTTTTCTCTGGAAAGATTTTCAGAAATGGGGTAAGGGCCCTGTAAGCTGTTGTTTGTGAAGATCCCCCTCCCCCCTCCCCCCCCACCTGCCTTGGGAGGCTGCTGGAAACCTCACATTTCCACAGCACATTTACATACATTTTCTGTTACCCTTACAGCCACCTCCAGGGATAGTTAAGTGGGCAAATATTATTCTAATTTTAGAGACCAGTAAATAGAGTGACCTCCAAGAGGTTAAGAGACTTGCCCAAGGTCATATTGCTAGGAAGTGGTGGAGCCAACACACAAACGTAGGCCTCCCAATTCCAAGGCCTTTGGTTTTTTTCTAGGTCACTGCTCTGCTCTGCCTCTTCAAGGAGAGATCTTAGGCCTGTGCCTACTCCTCCTTCGATTTCCTTATCCTCTCCCAATGGCCCTCCTCACCTCTTCTCTAACACCTAGCATTCTTTCAGCTGCATCTCTTTGAACCCCTGTAGGTGGCCCCCAGGCTATGAGGGCTCTCTATCCTCCCTTGCCAGTTGGGGCCCCATACTTACCCCGCCAGGGCCCGGAGCTCCGTGGGGCTTTGCTGCTTGTACAGCTTGGGGAATAGCTGCTAGGCTGGCTCAGGGCCCGGCTGAAGTGTTCGTCCACCACAGAGCTGATGTCTCCCTGGAAATAGGTGAAAAGGACGCAGCGGGAGTTGATGTACTCCGCCTCTGGTGGGCGCTCTTTCTCCGGGCTGCCTTCTTCTTCTTTTATACTAGCCGGAGTTTGGCTGGAGAAGGAGGAGCTGCCACTGCCACTGCTGTTGCTGGGGCTGGCGTTGCACTCCTGTGCTTCCTGCATTTTGGAGTAACAGGCTAGTTTCTGCTCAAAGGAGAAAGAATAGAGAAGTCAATTTCAAAAGAGCGAGCAAATTGTGTTCAGACTGCACTCCCTCATCCGGATCCCAAAGGTATCCAGGAGCAACTGACATGGGTGTCCATGCCCGGTGCTCAGTAACGTAGGCTGCAGTCAACAGGCCTCCCAACCTGCAGCTCAACAAAGGTGGGGCTCCTGAGAGGCCGACTGCCCTTCTTGGAGCCTCTGTCTCCCTGGAATTGCTGCCAGGCCACAAGGAGAACTCTCTGAAGGTGTCAGGGTGAAGGTCCAGGAAGACGCCTAAGCAGTTTGACCACAGAGCCAGGCTCAAGGCAGATATAGTTTTAAAATCAGGCTCCTAGGGTAAAAGGCACCCAAGTCCAGTTAGGGCCTGACTCTTCCCTGCCTGAGAACTCAGGGCAGACGTGCAAGATGCAGGATTAAAGCATCCTCATAATAGAACATGAAAATAACAAAATCCACTCTACACAACAAGGATGTAAAGGAAGAACTGCTGTAGGATAAAAACATGGAATAACATCGTGACATGGATCATTTTAATAAATGCAAGTTGATATTTGGTCATTCATAAACTGGCCATTAGAAAGTCTCAGCTTTTAAAGAGATCTTCTTTTGAGTAAGGAAAAACCAGTGGGCTATGACAATTTCTACCTCACCATCTGTGTATATTGAGGGAAAAAGTAATAAAAAGGAGCAGAGGATGATCTTGTCTGTAAGGTTGGGTAAATCATGACTGTCTGATAGTGATTTACAAAACGAAGTGTGGCCGCTGAAAACATTTTCTTAGAAACGAGCAATGGACTGAATGCAGTGTTAAAGCAGTATGCAGGCAGGGATGCCCTTCAAGGGAGACCCTGATCATACAAAAATGAACAGAGATCTTGGGGCAATAGATTGGTCCAGGGTCAGGGAGGAGAAAGGACCAAACGGACAGAAAACCAACCCTCCTTTCCTCTTTGTAATACTCCCAGCCTGGGAAGGAGCTCATCTTGGACACCAAAGCCAAAAGACTGGAGTTATTTAGCAACATCACCATTTCTACCACATTCCCACTTGGCTTACAGTGAGAGACTCTGGTGATAACTAAAATTAACATTGAGACTAAACAAACTTCTGGTTGGAAAGTTTTAAAAAGGAGAGGAGGAGGGAGAAAAACAAAAACAAAAGGCAAAGTCTACCCATTCCATCATTAATTCATCCGGAAAATTTCAAATAGATATTCTGCAAGCAAAATTGGCAAAAGCATGGACTCGGACACTGGGGTGTATTTCAATTTTCCCGAAGCAGGAGGTCCAGGCCCTCACTTTCCAACCTCGTCCGGACTCCTAGGGGATCCCCCCCTCTGCCCACTGGAGTGCGATCTTATTCATTTCCTGGACTACTGTCCTCAGTTTCGACTACAGCAGCTGAGGAATGAAAAGAAAAACTTCGACCAGATATAGCCCGGAGAATAGAAATACTGTAAAAATTAAACGAAACTTGAAGAGTTTGCAGAACCGGGGCTAGTGCTCTTCTCAAAAGTGGGTTTGTTGATGGCAGGGCAGCCGGACTCAGCTAGCGAAAGGCGAAGTATTATCTATGAAGCTTGCCTCTGCCAGGTCAATAATATTTCCCAGAACTTTGCAAAGCAGAGATTATAAAGCCAGTGAGTTTCGTGCAGTTCTCTTTGTAACGAATTCGCTGGTTCTGGAATTAATTGGCCTGATCGCTTGAGAATTGAAACTGAAAAAAAAAAAAAGCCTTTGATAAAATAAGCTTGCAGAGATGAGAACGCGAGTCTTTGATTCTCAGACATAAAGACAGAGACAGGCCTTTGCTTTTGTTTTGTTGTCACTCTCACCTTTGGGACCAAAGTTTGGTTTTCCCTGCGTGAGCTTTGCTTGCATCTCCCCGCGCCAGCACCGGGCTTGGAAGAAATCTGGAGTCCGACATACCCTAAGAAATCGATGCAGCTCGCGCGATCCTCGTCTAATTATTCCCAGGAAGCCAGGGCACGCACTAGCAGGACTTAGCTGCCTTCCCGAGAGAGCAAACGGGCAAGCTAAAGGGGTTAGCTCAACCTACTGGGTGGCAGCGCGGGCAATCCCCGCATCCGGGAGGCGCCCGCCGCTGTTCGGATGCCCAGTACCCGCGCGGAGGCACCGGGAACCTCGGAGTACTGGCAGTGCTCGGAGAAGCCAGGGCGCGCCACCTGTCTACGAGGCCCGGCCGAGAAGAGACACGTACCTGGTGGTAAGGGGTGTAGGCGGCTGCGAAGTAAGGCTGGGGAGGACCATAGACTTGGTACATAACATCCAGACAGCTCATGGCTTCCCGCAGCGGAGACGGTTAAGTGTTTTATCATCAACTCTCGGGCGGCGGAGGGCAGGGATGCTGCATGGGCGGCACTTGGACCCGAGCTCCCAAGTCATCCGCGGCGGAGCGAGGGGCAGCGTGCTCCGCGGCTCGGGATCCCGCTCGCACGCTCCCTTCCCACCCCTGCAGTTCCAGTCGCCACCGCGCTCCGAGATGGAAGCGCCCGGCCTCCAGCTAGTGGGCATTTAAACCCCACGCGGGGCCGGCGTGCTGACGCCATTCCCGGGCCGCGGAGGAGGAGGGGTTGGGGGCGGGGCCGGGAGGCCAATGGGGTGCGTGGCACGAGGGACCGAGGGGCTTGCCGGTGCGTTTCCCTGGGCTACCCGGCGGCGAACCTGTGGCCGAAGGGTGTGGTGAACTGCGCAGCCCGGAACTTGAGCCCTGAGACTTCGCACTGTGAGGAGCAAGGGTTTTCCAGGCTAAAGCAGAAGGGGGCGGGAGGACGGAGAGGAGAGGGAAGAAATGGGGGCTTTTACATTTGGAGAGAGAAAGAAAGTTGTTGAGTAGTGGGGAACGGTCTTGTGGGAAGTCCCGACCTCACACTGGAGAGTTGAGTGTGTGCGTCCGGGGTGGCGAGGTGGGGAAGATTCTTTGCTCTCGGCTCCTCGGCGGGAGGAACGGCGCTATCCCTAGGAATACCCCAGGAAATCCGGATCTTCGCAGAC